TCTGGTGCAGCAGTGCACACCTTACATTGTCTGTTGTTTAGAGGGCTGAAATAAATTAGGATAAACTTTTGGTTACAAACACCTTTGTCTTTTTAAACTTCTATGTTGCAAAGCTGTGTGTGAGTTTTATTTAACCAAATATTTTATGGATATATGGAGTAACAAAATATAGACAATGTAAAGAAGAAATCATGTAACAGTTTCCATCTACTCACAAATTTTTCACATAGCACAGGCTGAAAATGTGATGTAAACATTCTTCTGTAGCATGTCAGCCTTTGCTGAAGGATATCGAGAAACAGTGTACATACTTACAGGCGATACTTTGTATTGTTTCACGGTGAAGGAAGTACCTATCTGCTTAAAAAGAAACCTTATTGAAGGCAAACATTTGTCTTCTGTTTGCTTTTTACAAATGCTTTTACATTCATAAGGAGGAACAGATCCTTTAAAATATGAATCTGTTGTTTGCTTGGATTCTTGGAAGGGCTTGTTAAATCAGCAGGTACGAAGCTAGACATCTGGAATTACTGCACTTTTAGCAAACGCTAGCTGATGCCCTGCCACCTGAGCTGCATGAAAAGATGCCTCCCACATATTTCTTTAGCGGTTAGCACAGCAGCCTGATTCTCCATTGAACAGAGAGAACAAGCGAGCTCTCTGGCTTTGCACCTTTGCTTTCCAATCTCAAGTTTGCACCTTTCTATCCCATGCTGGTTAGGTTTTTTGCAGCAAATCTGTGATGCACTGGAGTACAGTAGGCGGTTTACTTGTTTTCGTGGAAGGACAATTTGTACTTAAAGCAGTGATTAGATGAATTCTTTCTTTCTTGCATGCTTCAGTTTTGGATGACTACTAGCTTCATCAGTGTAATTATAATTAGCACTCTTCATCTTCCTTTTACGGTACCAGCTGGACAGATTGGTCCTCTTACTGCACAGATTGGCGGCAGGGTTGCCTACATGGAGTTAGGTGACAGGCACCATGAAATAACAGATGGTAAATTCAGGGCTTGTTGGCAATCAGCAGGTTTTTGCTAATGACTTAATTAGCTATGCAAATTGTCAAATCAGTGTGAACATTGTTTTTATCGAAAACTTTACCTAAATTAATTACCATAATTAAGTAGCAGAATGTCAAGTATATTGGATGCGTAAAAGGGCTTGGCTGGCTATGGATAAGAGAGTTACCATCTTTATTAGAGTGCCGTGCTCCACATTTGAGAAGTCTGAGGATAAGAATTGCAGTTTCTTTTAAACTACTTTTAAAATACACATATCGCTGAGCTGCAACTGAGACGCACCCTGGTGCCTTTCCGAATAAAAAGGCTCAGGAAAGAATTGCTGGATAAAGGCTAAATATTTCAAGCAGGAGTTCAAGGCAGCTTCATAGCCTGCTTATTTGCTTAAAATCGTGAGCATTTTTCAGTCTACCTGCTTTTCAGTTCTGGGGTTTCTGAGATCCAGAGCCATGAGCATGCGGCTAGAGAGATGCGTTATAGTTTTTCATTTAAATTAGAAATAAAGTGTCAGCCTGTCTCCTGGTTCCTACTATGCAGGAACTTTTAACGCTGTTGTTCAAATATCACAAAGTTAAGAGATGCAAATTCTCTAACATAATTTTTTTAAGTTGATTTTTTCTCTCTCAAGGTTTCCATATAACAAATATTGGGTGCTGTTCACAGGATGTGATGGTGGTAGGAGAACCAACTCTGATGGGAGGCGAATTTGGGGATGAAGACGAAAGGCTTATCACTAGATTAGAGAATACACAGTATGATGCAGCAAATGGCATGGATGATGAAGAAGATTTCAACAATTCACCTGCACTGGGAAATAACAGCCCATGGAACAGCAAACCTCCTGCTAACCAGGAGACTAAATCTGAAAACCCCACACCACAAGCTTCCCAATAGGTTGTTCCGCAGCAGTACCCACTGCAATGTGTGTCAGTGGGTTATTAATTACTGTTTCACAGCATTCTTCAAAACAAAATTAAAAAACCCTACCTTTCAATGGATACAGTATCTATTTCTAAACTAAAGCTATCTGATTTTTTTTAATTAGGGAAAAATCTTGTAGAAGCTTCCGTATACATTTCTTGGAGGCATTCACATACAACTTGATACTGGCACTGACCTCAGTTAAAATAATTGACAATTGACTAGCATCTCATGGCAAATTTCTGACAATGCATTTTATTGGAAGGGGTTGTTTATTTCCTCATCAAACAATGGCCATATTTTAACAAGTCATCAGTGCTCAGGATCTCATTAACGTAACTATGTAAAACTTTTTACAATTGTAATATATTTTCTCCTTTTCAACTTGCACCTGAAATTTCTTGTTTCAGAAAAAAATCAGCTTTTAAGGAAAAGTAATTTAAAGTAACTTTTGTTCTTTCTTTAACTTTCATCAGTTAATCATTTAAAGGATCCAGCATTTTTAATTTGCATTTAGCTGATGCCAGTAGATACTCTTTCCATCATTTAATAAAAATGCTGAAACAAGAAATGTCTTTTTTTCATCAAAGACATGAGAAATATTTTTATGTGGAAAAAGACACTCAGTCCTATGAGAGTTTATGCTTTGTAAAATTGCTGTCGATCCAGATATTTTAAAGCCATGTAATCCATTAACTTTGTGGACAGCTTAATAAATCTAAAACTTTTGTGTTTTTATTATTGTATCTGAGTTGGCTTTGTTGTTATTTCTTTTCATAGTATATTTCTTGTATAATATTTTTGTAAAGCCCTCAAACCATTTTTTGTTCTACTTTTTTTTTTTTTTTAATCCGGTGTATTTATGTGAAACTTTATAAAAGAAACTAATTTTTTCATTTACATATTAAGATGTTCAACTCATCATGTAAAGACACAGTGAGTCAGTGTGTTATATAATACAACTGTATTTTATGTATGCTTTGCCAATAAGTGTGCCAATAAACTGTGTTAACTAATGTGCTCTTACATAGTGCATTTACAGTTCCTTGCATGCAAAAGACACAGGCCCATGTGCAGGATCGTGCACCAGGAATTCTTGGAATTAATGTTTCACTGAATTACAATCTTTTTCCAGCTAAAAGGAAAGCCTGTAGTTCAGGTGTGAATCACGTGCAGCTCAATTTGGTTAGATGCTCTTTTTTAACATTAATGATGTGTAACAGCACAGGTCAGCGACAGCAGCGAGAGCCAAGCGTGAGGGAGTGCAGGGCATCCAGCAAGCACACCTCCGTCCTGAACTTCGCACCCCTCGCCTTCCAGGGCCGGGGCTTATCAGAGCAGGGATTTCCACTCTGCTGAATTCTGTCCGATAGTTTTATGATGAGTCCCTCAACTGGGGCTGAGAGGATTTAAAAAATTCCCCTTCTTTCTTCCCTTTGCTATCAAATCAATTGTTCACGGGAGCAAGCAGAACCTGTGGACTGGTGCAGCCGCTCTGAATGCAGCCCGGCGTGTAAAGGCCCTCGGCTGAGCTGGGAGGCAGAGGCACACGCCTGCACCCCGCGGCAGCCGAGAAGCCCTGCAGGGTGCACCCCGCGGGTGGCAAATACTTACAGGGAGAGCTACCGACACAGAGATGCTGAATCTACGCGGTCCTGCCTTTTGTGCGGGGGAGTGATGTTTTGCTCTTGACTGAAACTGTACTTTTAATATTACTGACATTATAAAAGCATCTGAAGAACTCTTGTTTTTTATCTGAGTGACTGTATGTATACCCAGAAGCCACTCTAGGGAAATGTGTCTCCCAAGCGTATATGCATATTTTTAAGCATGCTTTTGGTGGATGTGATTTGGCCAAATAGTTTTGAAACCACCATTGCAGAAGAAATACAGGGCAAAGGACCCTGCGTGGCCGCTTGGTTCTGCAGCGGGAGAGAGCTCCCTCCCTGCCCAAGAACGAACCTCAGCCTCCGGCATGGGCCCCATCCTCCTGCAAGCAAAATCCTCATTCAGTGGATTTTGGCACCCATGGCAGGCCTTACAGGAAGATAGCCTAAAAGAGACACAAAAGCACATCAGCTGTAGGGTAGAGTTTGAAACAAACTAAATAACAAAGGTGGACTGAGTGTATCCACATAGCTAGCAACGCTGCTCCTTCGTAACACTTGCAGGGCGTAGGAAACGGCAGGTCTATCATTCAGTGGCTATATCAGCCCCGATTTTTCCATGTAAATAATTAAATTCACAATGTATTCCATTAGGGGATCACTGGCTCCTATATAGCTGCTATAACATTACAATTATACACTGTAATTCTAATGTTCAAAAACACTAATCATTCATATTACATTTCCATGAGCACACTCTAAAAGGCGTTCCTTATTATTAATCTTTCAAGACTGGCACTACTATTTCAATTTTTAAAAGATTTATGATGTCACATTACTCCTGTTGTTTCAGTAAATAAACATAGGAACGCTTGAAAAATGGGTAACAGACTCCTTAGAGTGCTGTCCTTGAATTATCTGGAAGGACACTTTCTCCATATCTCCTCAAAAACCCCATCTACAAGCTATTAATCCACCCTATTGTGGTTAGGGTGAATAACAGATGGAGCTGGCTGATTTTATTTATTCACTTATTTATTCATAAAAGAAAGTGTCCAAACGGGTCATCTCAATGAAGTGGTTTGAGATGTACAGCAGCCGGCCACCCAGTCTCGTCACTGCCGCTTCCTTCGGCCCCACGCCCTGGGCTGCTGCATGGGCTTTTCTTACCATTTTTCAAAAGATGCAGTAAACTCACCAAGACAGAGCCTGTGACCCTGTGTCTTCCCGTGTGCGCTGTCCTTGGGAACGCTCCCTACAGGTAGGGAATTAAGGTACAGCGATGACATTAACTACTGGATTGGTTGTGGGTTGCAGCTGTTGCGGGCGCCGTGACCGTCGGACGCAGAGAAGTGGGAAAGGTGAATGAAGATCACAGGTGAGTTGAAGTAACGTGTTCATGAGAGCTGAGGTTTCTGCCTGAAGAATGAAAGCTTGAAACCAACAATTAATTTTACTGTAATCTAATCTCACCACCTACAAGAACATTGTATCTCTCTTAGAATTTGGAAGGAAATAATGTTGTTGACGCTTTCCTCTGGAGAGCCCTGCCATTATTAAAAGGAGGAAGGAAACTTATCTCATGATGCTGAAATAGTTTCAAAGAGAAAGCTCTTGTTTGTTTTAGCTAAATGGAGGGAAATACTGGCCCTGAGAAGCACCCTTGCAAATCAGAGGGAGGAAATTCCAGGCGTTCACTTAGAAAAGCAGAATCATGTAATTAGTAAAGTGACTGAGTAAGAACACTGATAACTAGGCCGGTTGCTGTTACAGAGGACTTGGAACATGCAAGAATTGTAAGCACTGGTGGGTTTTGGTTATTCCTTGAATTGCTTTGTTTGGGGATTTTTTTTTTTTGTCTTGGGTCGGCAAAGTCCCCTTCTCAGGGAGCTTCCAAGTCACATGAATCACCAGCTGGTCGCACCAGCGGCCCCGCGTGAGAACAGGTCAGTTCTCAAAGCTCCTTCTTTCTCCCTTTTCACAACAAGCAAAAAGAAGCAATATTTGCAGCTTTGTAGTCTTTTCAGAAGGAAGGTGTCCTCGGGTCTCATCATCTTTGCATCAGTATGTATGAATGTAATAACATTGTAGGGTAATTCAATTTGGAAGGGACCTCGGGAGGCACAGCTAGCATTTGTATGCTTGCAGCATCATAGGGCTCTGTGAAAGTCATAAGCAACTAATTTTTAACCTTGGTCCTGGAGAAGGTACGACTCTGGCACGCTGGGGAAGTGTAACCGACTTGCGCCCTTGGGGAACAGAGCAAAAGTACCCATTGCCAGAGAGCTGCCAAGGAGAATCGGTCCTGAAGTGTGCGGAAAGAGATGGGGGGAGAGGGGAAGGAATCTGCCGAATGGAAAGGCAGAATACTGAGCATTACTGGCTGTTCTCTAACACCAGGGTGGAGAGAGGTTCCTTACCCAGACTTTGCTGCGGAACACCATGAAAGGAGCCTAAATGATAGAACCAGCCATAAGAACAGACTAAATTTTGCAATTTCATGGCCTCCATGAAAATCCCATTTTAGCAAAGACAGGATGAAAGAGAAAACATGAATGATCGATATTGAAGGAAACCCAGTTTGTGCCTAATATATCCTGGAGAAACTGCTAATGGAAATTGAATAGTCCTGAAAATATTTCCTGAGACTGCAACTCTGATCAAGTAGCCCTATGGTGATATATTGCACGTCCAAATTAAAGCTGCCCTGGGGCACAAGTAACTCCAGCAGCTGGTTTTACTGTGTAGGACTGGATGATTTGTCTGTTTTTTCTAGCTTTTTGACAGCATATTTTTATACAAGGCTAAGGCCTGAGTCTTCTACTATGTAAGAGGAGCTACTGAATATTTAACATCCCATAGAACTGATGTTACTCTAGCATATCATTATGCTTCTATTAGGAAGTCTGCTGGTACCCCAGCATTGCAGAATGGCAGATGGTACCTTTAGATAAAGAGTTGCTTATGGAGGTCTCTAAATTTATGGACCATGCTGCTATGTTTCATGAGAAGATATGAATTTCCACTGAATGTTCACAGTATTAAAATCTGTTCTAATTTAGCATGTTATTTTGACAGCGACTAGTTCTTTCAAAGGGAAAGGCTTTATTAGGATCAGCGATGGAGCAATCTAACTGTGGCAGCATTTCTTCTGTGACCCTGTGAGTCACTTCTGAAATGAAAGAACTATATCCCTTACATCAAGAAATAATTTTAATGGGTGTATGGGCAGTCTTAATCCATAAGCACATTTTCAAATACCATTATGCACTAAAGATGACATCAGAGAATGACACACTTGTGCCTACAGAATCAAAAACTTTATTAAAAGCATCCAGCCACAACAGAGCACAAACACTCCAGTTCCCCAAGAAACTCCTGATTGTGCTTCCATCAACTTCACAGGGAGCAGGATGAGAGCAATAAGTCTGGGTGTGGGTAAGTTACTAAATGTATCCTGATAACTCAGGTGCTGATGTTTACTTCACATTAGCAGGGGAACGTGCTTCAGCTGAACCCAGATAAATGCCCACCGAGCATGCCTCCGTTCCTGTTGGACACCCAAATTTAGGGTCCTGTAGGTCTGAGCTCATTAGCTGGAGTCCAAAATTCTTCAGGTTGTTTTTATCTTCTTTCTGTGTGTGGTTGTGGGGATTTTATGAGGGTTTTTTTTTGCTGGTGTTTGGGCTTTTTTTTTTTTAATTGGTACAATGCTCTATGGTATAAATACTTGTCAGGTGTCTAGGATCTTGCTAGTTGGAA